TAGGGATCTATATGTGAAAATTATGATTTTTATAGGTATTTGCTTATTGGCGATCCATCTGCAAAAGGCATTTTGGCGGCTTGGAATAACTATTTTCGTTGTAGTGGATATTTCCATTACATCCTCCTAATTATATTGGTGAGTTCAATAAAAATTTCTATTATGAAATAAGAAATCCTGACCCATATATGTATCATTTAGCATTTCCACGATAATCAGTGGTTGCATATCTGCTTGAACATGAAATTTTACTGATTAAAAAACTCATTCCAAAAAGGCTAATTAAGATGAGTGGACTATATATATACATATTTGGAGATCGAATATCCACATAGAAATTTATAGTTAATTAGCACCTATTAGCGAATGCATGCATCGTATTGCCAAATTCATACCGGCAGCTAAATTCATCATCAATTAAGCAAGGGAATTCGGAATTCAAACAGGGTCAGGAATTAAACAAAAATTAAAATTAAAATCTTGAGAGAAACACTTTGAAAAAACCACGTTATCCCGTCCTTTTTCCAAAGTCTGATTCTCCTCGACCATACCCAACACGAGGCAGAAAGAGTATATTTTTCCAAGAGACCGTAATCCCATCACGATCAATTACTGTTTAATAGCAGTAGCCTATACACTAGTTGAAGTTAACGTGCATAGCGGCATGTTGCATACATTTGCTTTTGTGGACAAATCTTTTGCGTTGGTTGGGAATCTTCCCTTCTAGCGCGAAAAAAACGGAGCAACTCATTAGCACATAAATAGTATTATTTATTAAAACTAACTTGAAAAATAGATTAATATAATTTTTTAAAGTAACTTTTTATAGTTTTTTTTAAATAATACACCGTTTAACAGTTTGAAAACCGTGCATATCGAAAACGAGACAGAGAAGACGGGGACAATCGGAAGACAGACAGACGAACGCAGCCAGTGTCAATATATGCAATACCTGTCTCTTTCGCTCTATCGAAAACGTAATTAAACCATTAAGCAGCTACGACTCTTTGACTTTTTTTTCCTTAGAAAAAAATCAATAAGTTGAACATTGTATTTTCAACGGTACGTTAAATTGCTCATTAATTAATTGCACGGGCCAGTACGTATATTTGAAGATGTATACACTATACAGTGCATCGTACAGTAATTTGACTTTTACGTTATTAGCGCATGGGATTTTTGGATTTATAGGTTGATGCTAATTAATCCCTCAGTCAGTCTAGTGCAGTTTTGCATTGTTCATGTTCAACGTATGACCGTTCATCCTATTTAAAAATTTTTATGATTAATATTTTTTTATTATTAGATGATAAAACATGAACATTATTTTATGCGTGACTAATTTTATATTTTTTTTTATAAATTTTTCAAATAAGACGGACAGTCAAACATTAGAAATGGATACCCAGGGCTGCATTTATTTTAGAATGAAGGTAGTAATTAAATTGATGGGCTTACTAATCTTGATCGTATCAAAGGGCGATATATCATATCGAGCCTGTTGTTGGAGATGAAAAATCAATATATCTCTAACTTTGCTCCATGTTTGTTTATTTTGGCCAATAATGCCCGCCTAATAGATGCAAGCCACTAATTTGAATACTGGAGTAGAACTGAAGACAAAGAAAATTTGAATTTCCGTGGCAGTTGTACAAGTCCCGGTCAAATCAAATCAAATCAGTATGTACTTAATTACCTGCAAGTTGAAGTAAAAAATTTGCATGCGTTAGGTTATCTTGCAATTAACTTATCAAGGATATTGTAATTAAGTTGTTTATCTTGGCAAGTAAACACAGCAGTAGCTTTGTCTCAAGTGTCAACCTTTTATTGCACAAGTCAAGTGAAGTGATGGACTGATGGTAGGAAACACCAAAGCATGCATGATCCACGGAAGAAACCTGATGTTAATTATAGGAAAAAAAATACGAATTAGTTTTGTAATGAATTTTGGATACAGAAGCTTGGCCCCATGATAGGACAAATTGCCAGTACAACAGTTGGAGCGTTGAAAACGTTATTCCCTAGTTTTGTGCAACAAGAAACAAGAAGAATTACAATTATGTTGGAAGTTAAATACACCTATGTTTCCAACAACAATGTTGGCTATGCCACAAGTGCGACAATTTTATTTATAATATTGATGAGCCAATTAAACGTAGTAAGTAGGGATAAAAATGGGTCGGCGTCTTCCTTTTTAATTCGTAAGTTGAATTCGACATATATAGATACAGACGTATTATTTTAGTTTAGAAAAATGGTGTCGAGTCGGAGCCAAGACGGATTGAAAATGGAATTAAAAATTGCTGGATATTACTGGTCTAAAGACTATAGGAAGTGCAGATCCATTATTTGAAAAAAAAAGTAGTTCTCTCCTGGCCTCTAGGCTCCAGCAACGAGCAGAGTAGCAACTCAAACTGCAGACCAATGGGTGTCATGGCGATAGATCAAAGCCCGTAAAACATTCTAGAGAAGACAGATTTTTTAATTGTATGCCATATTGATATATCACGTCCAATTACTAAACCACCCCTTTTTAGTACAATTTAGAGCGCACTCACCACCATGTGTAAGCACATGCATGTCCTCTACATACTCTTGAAATAGAGGCATCGAAATCTTATAGAGTATGGTGGACATGCTAAATCACCTACTGAGTACATAATCATAAAATTGGTGGACACTAGTGCTAGATCTAGAATCTGAATCCATTTATGTTAGGTGCCATATCTTGTCGACCAGCTTCTGAATCTATGCTACAATAATTATTTTTATAAGGGACATGGAAGTAACGAACCTTCTGGAGTTGATTTTGTGAAAAATTTTGAACTCTAGAATTGGGTAAAATTCAGAACGGAGGGAGTATGTAAGAAATACGATAAAAAGTGTTAAAAACAACCAACGAGAATAGAAACAAGTCAGTTCAGATCTTGGGAGTTAAATAGACCTATGTCTCAATAGTGTTGATCATGCCACAGGAGCACCAATTTTATTTATACAATATTAGTGAGCCTATTAAGAGTGACAAGTAGGGATGAAAATGAAATGGACTTTATGGTCGTACCATATCTCACGCCTCCATTTTTCCGGAACTTGAATTTGAAACCGCTGACGATACAACACATATATAGATGCGAATATATTGCTTTAGTTTAGGAAAATGGTGTGAAGCCGAAGTTGCGATAGATCGAAAACGGAATTAAAAATTGTTGGATATTACTGGTGTATAGACTTGGAGAACGCAAATCCATTATTAGAAAAAAGAGTAGCCCTGTCTCCAGCAATGAGCAGAGTAGCAACTCAAAGTGTAAACCAATGATAAATGGTCTTATGCTTGGGGTAATGATAAGTTCTCCTCTCAGAAAGTTTATGCTATAAACTTTAAACTTCATGCATGTGCAGGCCCCTGCCTATTTAAAATGGATCTAGAAGAGTAATTGTACTATGAAAGTTCAGGTTTTTGGTTGGCTTCTATTGATTGATAGGTTAAACACTTGTGATATGCTTGATAGAAAGTCTTGTGCCCCTGATGGAAGTGATTTAACCTGTGTGTTATGTTCATCTAGAGAAAGAGAAACCCTTCAACACCTTTTTTCAGTACAGAGTGTTGGGCGCAGTTTGGTATAGTCTGTAATCTCTCTTTGTCCTTTGAGAATATGTTGAACCATGCAAGGAGCTCTTATCGATCTTCGCACTTCTTAGAGAAAGTTTTATATGCAGCTTGGAACATCTAGAAGCAACGAAATGGATTTATTTTTTATAATGCTTTGCCTTCTGTTCCCTCTTGGATGGCATTCTTTAAGAATGATCTATCCCTTCTTGTTTTTTGCTTAAAATTAGATGAGAGATCAACTTTAATCTCCTGGTTAAACCAATTGTAATACTATTTTTTATATCTTAATAATATCCTTTAACTGTGGGGGCTTCCCCTACAGTTCTTTCCTAAAAAAAAAGGTGTAAACCAATGGATTTCATGGCGATAGTCCAAAGCATGTAAAGATATTTAGAGAAGAAGACAAACTTTTTTAAGTGTGTGCCATATTGGCATATCACATCCTATGTATCACCAAACCATCCGTTTTTAGAGTACTACAATTTAGTGCACACCCAACACTGCGTAAGCATATGCATGTTCTTTACATAAGCTTGAAGTATCATCGGAGGCATCAAAATCTTGTAGAGCTCAGGCATATGCATATCCACTTAGCATGTATTTGGTTTAAGGGTTGAGATGGATCGGATTGGGTTGAACTTATGTTTCAGCATATTTGACTAGAGAACATGTGGGATGGGATGGTCTCTGATAGGGAATATTCCTCTGGTGAACCAATCCAACCCATTATTTTTTCTTGCTGACATGTTGACCATCTCTTAGCATGTGTTTGGTTTAAGGGTTGGGATGGATCGGATTGTGTTGAACCTATTTTTCAGTGTGTTTGGTTGGAGGACAGATGGAACATGATGATTGCTAAAAGGGAATATTCCACTAAGATCTGAGTTCATCTTGTTCCTCAAAACCGGCAAACCAATCCAAACCTTTTTTTTCTCTTGCTGACATGCGGGCCATCTCTTAAAAAGTACGATCACCCTATCCCATATGCCAAACGAATAGATAAGACCATTTCATCTCAAAAACAGGGATAAGTCCAACCCATCTCAGCTCATTCTCAAACCAAACACATGCAGTACACACGTAGTCCTAAAATTGGTGGATACTAATGTCAAATCATCAATAAATACCACCCCTAGGAGTACGGTTTTTCTCCTTTTTTTTAAAAAAAATGTTTTGCTCCTCGAAGTAATGACACGTGTTTCTATAGCGCTAGTCTAGAATTAAACCCTATTGGGTTGAGTGCTATCTCTGGCCAACCAGCTTCTGATCCAATGCTATAATCATTTTTTAACCACATAAAGATTCAACAAGTGGAATATAATATGTCACCTATTGTCATCGTTCTAGCAACGGTGGAATAGAACATTTCATAATAATGGAAATAGTTTCAACTTCTACATTAAATATGCATTTGGACATTACTTATTATGTAACTGTAACACAACATTGCTAAATGAAGAAAATGCGACATCAAACATAGCTTGAAAATCGTCACAAGATCAGTTCGGAATAAGTTTGCACAAATCCTACTACAAAATTTCCATCCATGCACAACAAATGCGCATGTGTATGACTACTGTCTCAAGATTGCGACGCACCATGATGGTATCCTACCATGTTTGGGGAGCTTAAGATTTTGAGAAACAGTTGGTAAGAATCTGGAGAATTTGGGAAACTCAGCTTCTGGCTTCTAGTTCAATTTCTGGATTCTACAACTATAACTTCTCAGAATCTGGATAAAAATTTGGACTGTTTTGGGGGGCTTCTAGCAACTGGAAATTCCAGGAGAAGTCATGGGCCTGTTTGGTACAACTCCAACTCCTAAATTTAGCTCCAGGAGTTGGGTCTGGAGTGGAGTTGTGGAGCTGCGTAAACCCAGCTCCACAACTCTAGTTCATTTTGTGAGAGAGTTCCACCCAGCTCCACTCCCAGTTTTGGTGGAGCTGAAACTGTTTGGCTGAGCTCTAGGAGGGGTGGAGCTGGAGCTGGAGCTGTGCCAAACAAGCCCTGCCAGAAACTCTCCCAAACACAATGCATCTCAACTTCTGCGATCCATCAGAGATATCATCGTGACCTGAAGATCAGTCATGTACAGGTGAACCATTTTATCCTTAGCCTGCATACTGTTCTTCAGTGCTGAGGTCTTCACTATTGCTGCATACTGTGTGCCCATGTCTGATGATTGTGATTCATCTAGCTCTGTTCCCATGGTTTCCCCATGTAGTCATGCCCCTTTGTGAGAAATATAAATGGAGCACAGAGGGTACCATGGATGTTACAACTCTTCCTCACAAACTTCAGAGTTCAGAATAAAGCTGGGGAATACCATGGTTATGTCCCTGAACACAAAGTGAACAATTTAGGCATCAGAATTACAAATTTTATGGGTTTGTTCACTTTGATGCCAAAATTAACCCTTCCAAATTTTGGCAATACCAAAATTTGGCCAAGTTTGGTAGGGTAGAAAAGTGTGTGGGTGTTGTTTGGTTTGTTACTATGCTAAATATTCTTGTATAGTGTTATGTCGAGAGGTTTCTAGAAAATCACCAAAATTTTGGCATGGTAAGGTATGGTGGAGTATTTGGGATGTACTTAGACTGCTACCTTGCCAAAATTTGACAATGCTAAATTTGATATGGTTGAAAATGGTAACAAACTGAACAGCCCCTATATTTAGTGATAAAGTGATGTAAAACAGTAAAACGTAATTGGAGTGAAACCTGAAACTTGTAGACAGACTTACTTTAGGTATGGAAGAGTCATGTTCTTCAGCAAAGCCGGGTTTTTACTCGCAAACGTTTTCCATTCATCGGGGTCGATCTTCCCGTCATCGTTTAAGTCTGCTTGCTTGAACGTCTGTAAAAGCTCAAGTTAGCATAAAGGTTAATGATATGATTTATTCATGAAAGCAGTGGCAACTTTGTGAAAGAAATGAACTGAAATCTGCTAAAAAATGCCTGGGAAATAGAAAAACTGAAGGTAGTATTTAATCTGAATGCACTTAACCTGATCCACGATTTGTTCTACAGCTTCTTCAGATAGGAATAGATCTGATTCATTCAGAAGAGCAAGCACCATTTCGTGCAACTGCTTGATTCATAAGAAAGAAAAATAGTTTCAGTAACTCCAGGACTGTCAGTTAAAACGGTAAGACGGTATGCATATTATTTTCCAACGGTACACATACAAATTTCCAGTTTTTCACACTCAGCCAGTTTGAATTGAGGCTTCTTATGGATATGTAAGGATTTATTTAAATTAAATATCAACTGGATTCAACAAATATTTGGAAACACACCATTTATGTTTCTTTGATGGTATAGATGTGTACCGTCACCATCAGTTCTGTAGACTATTAATGCATGGAAATTACTATATGTTGAATCATTTCTACACAGTATATGGGTAGCATGTTTGATTTATGGAACTAAAAAGATGATAAGTAATTCTAATTTCTAAAATGCATACCTCTTCACGTTCAATGCATCCAGTTCCTCTCAGGTCATACAACCTAAATGCAACTACAAAAAAGAATACTGTCAAATACCAAAATGGCATAAACAGAAGGTAGTTATTAAAGAAAACAAAATCAAGATGGTTAAATTGACCATATATAATGAGAAAGAGCTGGAACTCCTTACAGGCAATCTTGTCTCCCAAAGGCGTTTCCGGGTGAAAAATGCTGAGGGATCGAACGAACTCCCCGAAATCGATAACACCGTTGCGCTTCAGATCAAAGAGATCAAATATCTGCACTTGTGGTGAAACACTGTCAGCATTTTCACATAAGAACAGGTTCTACAATTCAGCCAAACATATGTAGAACTGTGCTTCTTCAGATAATGCCTTTTTGCACCAATACATCATGGTCTATATGTTGAAATAAAATCCACTGATGAAATGGACTGGGTATCACTGCTACTGACCCGATTGGCGAAAAGGTTCTTCTTGTTGCTGTTCCTGAAGAGAGCTAGCTGGAACTCCTCCTGTACATGGAAAGGGCCGTTTGCAATTGACATATTTTTCATCAGAATTTCAGAGCTACATGGTCAATCTCACAAGTTTGAGCAGATTTTTTAAGCAAGTACCTTGTGAATGAGACCATCTCTGAATATGGAATGGCTTATCTTCTTGAACAGCTCAAAGAGGGCCTCCACTTCACTCACTGAAACTGCAAGAAGAATAGCAATAAATTACAATTATTATTATTCAGGGTTTTTCCAAAAGAGAACCTGTAAATATTTTTCCATGGTGTATCCAGTGAATCAAATCCTACATGTAGTCTCTTTGGCCAGAATAGCAGGATCCTCATGTTGTGCAGCTCTTTTGAACTGCTTTGATGATACACAGCCCATTTTATACAAACCACGCCCTTAATTTCCTGTAGTTACAAACTTTCACTGCATAAAGTGATAGATGGAACCTAAAACAAAATGGAGAAAGGCATTGCTGGCATCAACACAAGAAAAAGTGAAGCCACATGCAAAAACAAAACAGCTTCAGAAACACAGAAGAATCTAACCTGGGAAACAAATACAAATTCAGATCTTGTTTTCAGTACTGAAGTTCAACAAGAGGATGACTATCTAGTAGCTACAGAGACAGCTCTGTACCTACTGTCTTTCAAGCTTAATGCAGAATTGCAGATACAATGGACAGAGGGTAGAAGAAGAGGAGGAAGATGCTACTATATGTGCATATATATAATTCATCTGCACATCAATCTGTCGTAACAAGAGTTGACCCTACAGGCTCCTTGCAACATCAATGTAATGTTTTATTGTTCATTTCATCATCGATCTGTCACTGTTTCTGAAGAGTTAAAAATGCTGAGATTAAATTAACCAAGGCTATTCTAGTATAGTTTACAATTGTGTCTTGGGCTCTTGGCCTATATGGAGAAATATACGAATTAACTAATGAGCCATATGCTCGAGGATTCTTTATGTTAATGTCAAGTGACGCCGATTAGGTTAAGATGTCTACGAGTTTGTGCTTGATGTAAAAAAAAGTGTCAAACGTCATCTTGTACACATCAAATGGTTTGTTTATAGATGGACTGGATGTCTGAATCCAAAGGTGATGCATGATGCGGCTAGATGATACTCGTAGACATAATAATAACATATAGTTCTCAAGGTTTGTCCCAAAAATATAATAATTCCGTCACCAGCATTCTCCTTCTCAATTAATCACAATCCTCCATCACTAAATTTTCTCACATACCTCCACTTCTTAACCAATTACAACCTTCTCCCATTTAATTCTACCTATTTTCTTAATACTTATGTTTAACCCCAAAAATCCTTATATTCTGGACGGAAGGAGTAGTTGATAGAAGGGGAAAAACTTAGCAATTTAATTATCTGAAGGAAGTATGCAGCATTACGGACGAACACAACGTCAGAGACGCATGGAGAAGACATCAGCTGACGAGGCCAACGGTTGGCAGCAAGCCGGCTTCTTGGTAATATACCAAGAAAATGGGATGAGGTATCAAGAAACGTTTTGATCTTTTATTTGGCTATACATTTCTGACAGAACAAAGGAGTTTTCCTCTTATTTTTACGCTTAAGATTCAGAAAAAGAAGGGTTGTACCCTGGATGGCAGTATTTACCGAAATACAGTGAGTTGCAAAACTTTTAATTTTCACATAAAGAGTAAAAGAAATTTTAACCTGTGATAGAAAAACCTTTTGGGGTACTAAAATAGTTGAACATAAATTTTTTTCCAGAAAACTTTCTATTGAAGACTATAAAGTTTTTTATTGAACCGATGCAATGACTCAACATAATCATGAGAAAAAAGTTGTCTTTTGGGCAAACAAATTTGAAAGGAATATTTTTTTACTGTTATAAAGAACTATAAGTTTTTTCAGCTTACGGTGCTTGGGAATTATACGAGATACTCCCTCCGTTTCGAAATGTTTGAGGCCCTTGACTTTTTAGCACATGTTTAACCGTTCGTCTTATTCAAAAAATTTAAGTAATTATTAATTCTTTTCCTATCATTTGATTCATTGTTAAATATATTTTTATGTAGACATATAATTTTACATATTTCACAAAAGTTTTTGAATAAAACAAACGGTTAAACATGTGCTAAAAAGTCAACGGTGTCAAATATTTCGAAACGGAGGGAGTACTTCTTAAGGTGCTTGGGAATCTCTTAAAGGGTAATTTAGAAATAGAACATAATTTAACACTCGGTTTTAAGTAAAAAAAATCAATCTCAACTATCCTAATTGCTCGCTGCTAATTGAATAAATTCCATCATGTTAAGGTATTTAGAAAATCTCATTTGATGATGGCCATCAGATCCAAAAATACAAGCAGATTCGATGTAATCAAGGTCTGACTATCCTCTTGCTAAAAGCAACTCCGAATAATATTAAGTGGATCCCAATAATATGTACTGCATCGATCGATTAAAACCTTGTATTTTTCAAGTAACTAGCAAGCATGCCCGTGCGTTGCAACGGGTAAAAAAAAACATAATGATAATATACGTTTTTCATGCATAACCATGTCGATGACAATCAGAAAATTGGAACATCTTAAATGTAATGGCCCAACCTCGATGATGGCAATCTTACGATGTTTGCTTTACCTAAAATAATTGGATTATTCATATGACAACATGCATATAATCTAAAATATTCTTTTAATCTCATTCTTGCAACCAATCAAATCCTACGCTGCCTCGTATGGTCAAGTATACACAAAATAGAGTCATTGTACACTCTTCTTTAAATAACAATTAAAATATGTTTATTTTCTAATATTATTTCCATATAATATGTTATCAAGAATAATAGCTACACTTCACAAAAATAGTCTAATAATTGCCTACAAAGATGTGCAAGGTCTCCAATATAGGAGAATAGATTGACGAAACACAAGTCGTGTAGGAGATGAAAAAAACACTGGATCCTATCCGACCAAGTGTCCATCAATTTAGCGTTTTTTTCTAACAGTTTTTTCCTCGTATGCTTTTTATTTTTTTTTTGCTTTTTTTACATACGATGGAAATATTTTTTCTCACGTGTTTTTTTACGGATTACAGAAATTTTTTCTAGCGCATTTTCTTTTGCGCTTTTTTTTGACATTTTTTCCTCACGCGTTTTTTTAAACCGTTTTTATTTTCTCGTGCATTTTTTCTTTTTTAATATACGGTAGAAACTTCTCTTTTAAAATAGTTATATTAGATTAGATTCGAGATAAAGAAGAGATATAAACGGACTACTAAAATGACGAATAGAAATTAGAGTTTTTTTCTGCCGGCTTTTTTCTGGCCTTTTTATTTTTTTTTTCTCATGCATTTTTTTACGAAAGGTTTTTTTCGCCACTCTCTTGTAGTGTCGGACCTTTCTAGATATAATAGGATTCGATTTTTTTTTTACTTTAGAATCGGATATTTTTTTTATTTTTTGCGCCCTTTTTTTACTGTGTCAACGGAGCCGGATTCGTTTCGATTTTTTTTCTGTTTTTTTGCCCCGCTTTTTTTTTATCAGGCTGATTTGGTATTTTTCGCCCGGGTTTTTTTTCGCCCCATTTATTTTATCGGACTTTTTTTTCACCCGGTTTTTCGCTCGTTTTTTTTCGCCCGGTTGATTTTTTTTACCACATCACATATAATTCCTTTTTACGTGGAATCGGACATTTATTTAAAAAAAATTACCCTTTTTTTTACCGCGTCGATGGAGTCGGATTCGTTTTGATTTTCTTTCCTTTTTTCCCCTTTTATTGGATCAGACAGATTTGTTTTTTTCGCCCGGTTATTTTTTCGCTGATCGGACTTTCTTTTTCCGCCCGGCTTTTTCTCTCGGTTTTTTTTGCCGGTTTTTTTACGGACGATGGAAGCACCTCTTATTTTTTTTAAAGTATAAGTAGAGATAGAGATTAACGGATACAAATTTACTTATCTAGCCTTTCATCTAATCTTGAAAGTGATACGTGGCCCACGTTTTTAGGTACGTTGTGTTGGAAACCGTTAGATTACAGCCAATCAACGGCTATCAGGGTTTCCAATCCCACTAAAAAATCTACTGGACCATAGCTTCATTTTTCTTTTCTTCCTAATCAGTAAAAACTTTTCTATCCAACAGAAAGTTTTAAGATGAGCTACAGAGACAACCAGTACTATAAAAACAAGTAATCAACTAAAGAAAACGTAAAAAGTTTCTGTTGTGCGGAAGCACACCAGCACCCCTTACCGGATGCACCAAAGATAAAAAGCAGGAGCACATTTACGAGTTAAGATTTCCGTGTTATCTTCAAAAGAAAAAAAAGAAAAGATTACCGTGTTAATTAACGAAGGACTATCAATCTCTCCTCGTTAGCCATGTATGATCTCCCTCCGCGGGATAAGATCACGAATCATGATTTTACTGTGCTACCAGTCCCATTGCCGCTACCATTGGGCAAGAAAATGGGAGTAAAAAACAAAAGAACAACTCGCAGAATAGTTATCCCAGCTGTCTGCCATGACAGCGAACCAATCCGTCACTCTCGATACATGGCCTGTTTAGGGGAGGTTTAGATTCTGAGAAGCAGCTGTTTAGTAGCCAACTTTTAAAAATCTAAAAAACTCTGAAACTCAGCTTCTCCAACTTCTAGCTTCTTAATTCATTTTTCAGAATATGTAACTACAGATTCTCAGAAACTATGGATTGTTTAGAACAGCTTCGGCTAGCTGTAAACTGTTTAGGGCAGCTTATAGCAGAAGCAGCTTCTAGGAAAAGCTATAGCTGGGACAAGCTCCCCCACACTTTCTGTTCAGATTCTGACCAAATGACCGATCGAGTTCAGCACCATCGCCATCGATTGTACATCGCCATCGAGTTCAGTAGCATATCACTGCGGTGACGTGTTTTACCGTCGAAAGAAAGAAAAAATGGGGTCTGATCTGAGGCTGCTACTTTGATTTGTACGAACGAATCCTTGACTTCGCAGCACCAGCCCTACCAAACTGGTACTCTCAGCCTATTTTTTGACTCAAGTACTGCAAGGGAGGCCCCAGTAGTGTGGATTTTCTTTATTCAGAGGGTAGAACCAAAGTACAAAGGGAAAATTACAAGTCATTAATCCAAAAAAAAGTCCCTCTTTATAGGATTCAGGCGAACGGAGAGGAGTTGGTCATTCTTGTAAAGAGTCCTCCAATTTTGGGCCAAAGGTGTTTTGTTCTTAAAATTTTTGCAATCCCTTTGTTTTCAAATATGCCACTCTGCGAAGCAAGCCGTATTGCTACTTTCTCTGGCCTCCTTTAGCATCTCACCCAGATCAAGAGGTATTCCAGTGTATTGAGATCAAGCTCCAGCATTGCCTGCTGAATGGGCAATCAAAAAATAGGTGTAGGAATGTTTCCCTGTATGTTGGTCACAAAGCACACATGTCAAATTACTTTCTTCAGGTGCACAATTCTTCCTATCAAGCATGTCTTTGGTGTTCAGCCTGTCAACTAGGAGTGGCCAACCAAACGCTTTTTATCTTCATTGTACACTTGGTCTTCCAGATCCATTTAAGTGTGGAATCTGTTGTGTAAACATGAAGTTCCTTGCATAAACTTTCTGTGAAGAATATATATCATTTCCCCAGGTATACACCCATTTATCATACTCAGAGATGGGGCTGTAATTGAAGTCCACAAATTGCATATGTGGCATCTCTTGGTGTGCTTGTTCCGACAGGGGTAATGCAAATGCCAAATGGATGTCTTTTTGTAACGCCATAGCAATTGACTCCAGCATTATTCTATAAAAAGAAGGCCAAGAAATATCACGATTTTCAAGTTCATTATTTTCACAATTCCTGACCAATCTCAAGGGTGTATACAGTATACTACTGTATAGTATGATAAAAAAAAACTTAATTTGTCAACAGATGGTTACCTGACAAAAGAAAAATGTTTCTTATGGCTCATTTGAAAAGGAAAACCCAGGAAAGGAAATTTAACATTTCTGTCACAGATAATATAGTTCTGGGGTCAAACCGAATAAGCATATTCTCAAGTGAAAATCATTAAAATTTACCTGCAAGTTGAAGAAAATAAAAATACATACATCAGTTTACTTGCAGTGAACCTTCCATGGATATCAGACTCAAAGTTGTTTATCTTGGCAAGTAAACATACGCAGAAGCTTTTGTATCAAGTATCAGCCTCATTACAAAAAGTCAAGTGGTAATAGGAAACATGACTTAACATCAGAGGAAAACATGGCTTGGCAATGAATGATGTGAAATTTTGTCTACAAAAGATAACTTATCAATTATCCACTACTTGGACACATGACTAATACCCAATTCAATACTAGCATCTTTTAATCCATTCAAGCGTGCAAAAATGTTTGATAGAATGAACAGAACATAACAAGTTAATCGAATGAATATACAAACTCACCAGCTGAAGCTGGAATTAGGTATACCCCCATCCTAATCTTGTGGACTGTGCTAAATAGTTGACATAATAGTGCGCATTACCCACCAGCTAGGTTCATATCATCCAGCTGCAATTATAACAAACCTTTCCATACCATTAAGTAAATATGTGGTAGATCAGAAGGATCTGTACAATTATTCGAGTTGAATCATTAACTAACTCATCACAAGGATCTTGGAGACATACATACAACTTTAGAGGGAAAAAAATCTATATTTATCAGAGAGTTACAACCCTGTTAACCAGTAAGCATATAAGTGCAAAAAGAAAGGAAGGCAAGACTTCTAACTGAAAATTGCATTGATATATCACATGCTACAATCACTTTTACACCATACAAAGCTACATCAATCTGCATTTAATCAGTCAAGTATAACCATTGTCCATTTCAAGCAGCAATGGAGAATCCGATTGGAACGATGAGCAGGATGCTGCGCAGAAAGCAGAGTATGCAAGGCCATCCAATTTCTTTAATTATACTGCCTAATCACTAGGAAAGTATGAATGTGAAACCCCCATTTTCTTAAAGAGTCAGAGGTATTTATCCTTGATTAATTTTAGTATCTCCTCAATTCTTTTGATGATTTTAGGGTTCATCAAGTCCCTTGCTTGCCTAAGGAGAGTGCCTTCTCTGCTGTTATAATATGCATCAACAATAGCACTGGCCCAAGTGTGTAATACCTCTGGACTCCTGCAATCCACTAACTATGTCACCAAGACTTGACAAGAGAAAGGAAGAACAGCCACAGAATCTATTATGAAAGGGATTTCAATATATTGAACACTTACGTGTATAATGTATCAACATTATCCCCCTGAAGTTCAGGCCCAGGAGTAAATGCGTCATTCAATGCACTCAAGCGTTCTTCTGGATCCTCAATCATTATAAGATGCTTTAGTATTCTGATATCCTTTGGCATTTGTCTCTGGAGATTGGCTACTGCAGTCATGTATAGATGAAACATTATATCTTTAGCCTGCACAATGTATTGCATTCCAGTGAGCACTCAAACTGATGAATTTGTAAATTAGGTACATATATGGCATAGCTACTCTATGTTCCAAATGGTACTTGAATGCTTTTCTGTTTTACCTCAGATTTTGTGATGTCAGTACCCTTTGCAGCTGACCAAGCTTTTGAAAGCATTAAGACTAACGCAGAATCCAATTCCTTTTTCTCAGCTAAGTCATCTATCTTTCTGCATGCAGCATCCACGGAAGGTGAATTCAGTATATCTTTCAACTTTAATTCAGCAGCACTCAGAGCTTCAAGACTCCCAGATGTGTCATCATGAGCTTGTAGAGCATCTACACAATCATTTCCAAGTTGTGCCAATTCTGCAAGCAAACCAGTCAAAAAGGAAAATGATAAGCTCCCAAAATACTAATGGCTGAAAATAAAGGGAAAAAAATATGTTCCAACTATACAAGCAAGTAGACCCATGCTACATATTGTACAATAGCATGATATACATTCAGTAAGGACTGAGAAAACTAGAAAATAGCTGTTGTTGGTGGTGTAGTGTATCTATATTCCTCGACATGTGATTCATATGGGAAGTTACTAGGGCCTTAATACAAGGAAAGCTATGCAGAGTACCAACATATGTTACAATAAAAGGCCAAATGTTGCAAATAGACGTTCTTGTGTATGTCTCACCTCTTTGTTTTTCAGGGTCATCATGATAAGACTCTGCAACATAATAAAGGTGGTTGAAAAATTCCACCGTGAAATCTTTATGGCGCTTAGCAATAACAGAACCAATTTCATCAGATGGTGTAGATTTTACTACTTCAAGTAGTTCATTATGCCTTTGTACATCTTCATCTATCTGAAAAGTGAGCGAGGAAAAAAACTGTTATGAATAAAGGCTAAATTTAATAGTTGAAATAAAGCATAGATAGGCTTCCTGGAAACCACTAAAGTGAATCACCTCTTTCAGTTTTCTAGCAAGCCTGAGAAGATTGTGCTTCATCTCAGGGTTTGATTCTGCATCTGCTCTTTCCTGACAGCGTTTGAAAAAATGTGGCCTTATGTTATCCCATTCCCTGCTAAAAGACAATAACTTTCTCCAATCTGTTGGTGTAGGCTTATCGACCATAAATACACCAATTAACTTGTCAGATATTTTAATCATTTTTTGGTTTTCTTTAGACGTCTGGTTTGTCTTGGCAACCCTTCCTGCCAGATTATCTTCATGTGATGAAATACTCGTAGCAACATTTGTAGATCCACTGCTTGAGGGCATGTTTTCTGTATAATCCTCAGGAACTGCTGTCACATCACCAACTGCTTCTAGATTAGAGGTTCGTGGTTGGCGTTGACTAAGAAACAGGTGACCTGTGATCAGAAAATAAACACATTGAGGGTAAAACCTTCAAAATTAGATAGATGCCCCATATACAAAAAATCTATGGAGACCATCAGATACAAGAATAGAGCCATTACAGATGGTTACACTGTGGCACCATGCAGTGATTCGTGCATGCCTAATAGGTTGACACAAGAGAGACTAATGCTGAGATTTGATTGTTTCATTGGGCACATGGTAAATCCTGAAGGGATCAAATGCCAGCAGGATAAAGACTTCGTTTCAAGTGGTAAACCTGAATTCTAACACACAAAAACTAGAGCAACCACAGATAGAATTCCAGAATATACAGTATGGTCACAGGAAACAACCATATAGGGCATATGCATGAACTATTGATGCTGTTAATTTTCAAGACTATTGAACTTATCAGTAAAATTTTGCACCTACAGGAGTACTACAGAAGAAGAAGAAGAAGAAGAAGAAGAAGATAACACGGCACTAAAACCTTAAAACTTATAGATGTTGAAGGAAAACAAGAATAGGCTAGCAGACCATTAGAGGATCACAAAGTAAGTTTTGGTTACAGAATTGGTTAATCGTCTAGTTTGATCTAGTTTCAGAGCAGATTGATTCTCAACAAAGGACTCAAATCCTCAGTAAAGTTAAACATCATACCAGCAACCATATTTACGCTAAACCTTCGTCCTCACTCATCATTGCTATTTACACAGCGCTATTAATTTGAAATTCAAAATGGAAAAGAACCGAAAACCATATGACGCTGAACTCTCCCCCTGTGGTAAGAAACACCGGACTCACGACCGATTCAGAAATGCCAAAAAATCTTAATGGTACGAGCTCCAATCGTATGCGCACCATAAGCTATTCAACTGGAAGTAACGGTGGATCTACTTTTGAGCTCTAATTGCAACGATTCCCGCTCAGGTGAAGTCCAATTTTGCAACAACTCACCTTTGGAGGCGACGGGGGCGGCGGCGGCGGCGCCATGGGAGCGGAGGCGACGGGCGAAGGAGAGGGTGCGGGCGGCAGGAGGTGGGGTGAGCAGGGGGAGGCCGGTGGGCGGCGCCTGGCAGGAAGGGGCGGCCGGCATCGCCATTGGCGGCGGCGAGAGGAGGCGGGCGTTTGCTAGGGTTTAAGCGGAGGCGTACAAGTGGGGGCAAGGAGTGGCTGGGTGGATAGGGGAGAGGTGACGACACCGCGAGCGAGGTGATCTCACCCTCTCGCCTCATCACTTTCTTTGTCATCTTGTTGGGTTCTGAATTGCGAAACACACCCTGGAATTTGGAAGAATCTACAAATCAGGTGCCCGATTCGTAGTAAAAAAAAAAAAGTTAATTCGCTCGACTTGGCCCGTATCGATTTGTTGACGAGCTAAGCCAGATTCAGCTAACGAGTCAAACACAACAGCCCAAGTATCCAACTATCTAACAGTGATGTGTTAATATGACCCTATAAAAATATTACCATATGGCCTAGGCGCCCAGCCCATCAAGGAAAAAAAAAAGGTAAAAACCTTATAAGGAGAGAAGAACATACAGGACACCTCCATCCCTCTTTTTAGCACACTCGTTCACTTGAATATCTGCTCCTCTTTGCTCTCGCTTTCACACCGTCAACTAGGTCACATTGTTGACCGCTTATAGGCCGTAGCGGCACCAAGCCCCCAAGCGTCACCCTATTATCTTTGTTGGCCTCCCACCATCGCTAACCCTTCACCTCAGTTGGCCCCAGCCACTAGCCCTCTTGGCCTTGCCTCTGTCAGCCCTGGCCACTGGTCCTCACCTCCGGCAACACCAAGTTCTAGGCCCTCGACAACCACCTGCCCAGCCAGAGTCTGAAATGTTTTGATGCAATGTTTTTTGGACATCTATTATCTAGCCAATTGTCTCTCCGAAAGAGGGTTTTCTGTCCATTGCCCAGGGTGATTTTTATGCAGGCTTGGAAAAAGTGGATATCCACTGCATTGTAAGGGAGATCCATTTGTTCTCAAGGCCTGGATGGGTTTGTCCACCTTAGCCAAATCCATCTTAATCTTAAGGCCGAGGAGAATTTTTATAGATCTATGATTTCAAGTCCACCCAGCTACTTTGGTCTGCAAACAGTTTGCCAATTCACCAAACTAGCCCCTAGCTTAACATTTTCTGGCTCCTCACCTTTCCAAAGGAAAGCCCTTATGAGTTTATTGATTCTTTTGAAAACCCATTTAGGTATTAAAAGAGCTGACAAATGGTATATTGGAATGGAGGACATGACTAATTTTACCAGAGTTTCTCTTCCTGTGGAGCTGAAGAATTTGCCCTTCCATTCTGGAATTCGCGATCCACTCTTTTCAATTAAAGGTAGGAAGTCAACTTTCCTAAGCTTTCTTAAGTGAAGAGGGAGTCCAAGATAACTTGTTGGAAAAGATTGTATTGAGCCAGGAAAATCTTAGGTGAGTGATTGTACATCAATGTTGTCACAGGCAATTGGCAAAATCTACGTTTTTTTTGCACATTGTTATTTAATCCCGATGCCTTGCCAAACACCTGTTAGAGATTAAGCTTTACGATAACACTCAATAACCCTTGTGGTCCAACACAGAACATCGATGCCGGGCCTCAACTAAACCCTATCACTGATGAGGATCATCGGTGACGGGTGCTCACTTACCGCCAGTCACTGGTGCTTTCGTCCTACGTACCCTAGCTAGCGGTCCGATGACAGGCGCTGACGTTAATCTGTCACTGCAGATGTCGAACCACCGCCTTCTCTATCCAGCCGGTCTATCTGGGGTGAACTTTCTCCTAACATCGGTAATTCACTGTGCCAGTGTTATCGCCCATCGCCCGTATCTTCTGGTGGCTTGTGGAGTGGGATTGGGAGTGGGAGCGAGGATGGGCGAAAGTAGTGGGTAGCAGTATGGCTGGGTTGATTGATATGGAGTACAAACTAAGTGTAGCAATATAGTACTCCGTCCGTCCTAAAATAAATGCAGTTTTGCACTATTCATGTTTAACGGTTGACGGTTCGTCTTATTTGAAATTTTTTTATGATTATTATTTTTATTATTATTAGATGATAAAACATGAATATACTTTATGTGCGACTAATTTTAAAACAAATTCATAAAATTTTCATATAAGATTGATGGTCAAACACGGATTCCCACGGTTGTACTTATTTAATTTGAGATTGAGGTAGTACTTAATAACCACTAAGGGATTATAATCCATCTTAAGACTAGGGGTTACTTGCGTATCTACAGTTGACTTTAACTCCGTGTGATTATAACTACACATCAGCTTGCTGGCCAGCCTCTCCCATCAAGAGTTCATTATGCAGCGTAGCAGTAGCACTCTTGCGGTGATGGTGGTGTCGTTTGTAGTGCTGCTCGCCGGTGGTGCAGGCGCGGCGGCCGCCGCCGTGGCGCAGCCGGTGCCGCTCTTCGTGTTCGGCGACGGCACCCTTGACGTCGGAAACAACAACAACTTGCCCGGAGACGAGGACGTCGGGGATCCTCCTCGCGCCAACCACCCTTATTACGGCATCGACTTCCCCGGCGGCAAGGCCACCGGCAGGTTCAGCAACGGCTACACCATGGCCGACTTCATCGGTAGGAGCAGTATATGCATGTGGACAAAACGTCTATAACTTTTTCGAAAAAAAAAACACAATCATGTACTTTTTTCTGTCTACAAATATATGCTTTAAATTTGATCCATAAATAAAACCATTGCTAAGGTGGTGTTTGGATCCAGGGAAACTTTAGTCTTTGTATTTAAACACTAATTTATAGTATTAAATATAGACTACTTACAAAACTAATTACATAAATGAAAGCTAATTTGTGAGACAATTTTATTAAGCAATAGATTCGTCTCGCAAATTAGTCTAAAATTATGGATGGATTTTATTAATAGTCTACGTTTAATATTTATAATTAGTGTCCAAACATCCCATGTGATAGGGACTTACAAGTTTTAGTCTCATCTAAACAGGGTCTAATTATATATTACTAGTCCTATGAATCATATCTCGTCTAAATTTCTTCACATCTCTTCATCCCAAGCATCCTTCCAACCCGATGCATTTTATATTTCCCAACAAATGGAATATACATTAGTTATTAACTGTTAGCCAAGAAAGTGAAATGTTTGAGTATGTTTTGAGTTTTGACTAGTAATGCACGTCCATGATGCATATGCCCATAAGCTCATTTAATTATACATGATATGTATGGCAATGCGGTTGAACGCAGCAAAGTACATGGGATATGAGATGAGCCCTCCAGCTTACCTGTCTCTCTCCGGTCCGGTCAACATGGACGGTTTTACTGGAGTCAACTATGCTTCTGCAGATGCTGGCATACGGAACTCCACAGTGAGTCAACTCTACTCCTTTTTTCCTTTTTAAGCAAAGGAGCTTAGAGACACAGTACGTCAGTACCATGTGAAGGTGTTTTTTAAACACAAATCTACACCACTATTATTGTCACATATCAAATCCTTATATATTATTGTGTTCATTACTGATTTAATAAGATTTGGATGTACGACTAGTTTGCATACATTAATAGATGATCTTTTAAGAACTGAGTGAGTACAAAATAACACATATTAAAGCTACACCATGGGATTTTCGTAATTAAGTATACATGCACACGTTATTAAGAAGGTTACAGTTAGGTCAAGAATTTTACGTTGGTCTCTATTTTCTAATATTTCTTCCGTCCCATATTATAATACATATATTTTTTATAATTAAGGTATTTAATGATATTTTGACCATTATTTATTCTACGTTATGTTTTCAACAAATATAAAATTAGTATCACATGAAAAATACTTTGAACTGTGAATGTAGTGATATAACATATATATATATATATATATATATATATATATATATATATATATATATATATAATATAGCATAATATGGTTAGTATGATTATTAATCAAAAGTTACCGAGTTTAATTTTTCTTAAAAAGATGGTGTCCCTATAATTTGGAATGTTAGGAGTATGTGTTAGGGGCACACTCACATACTCGGTGTCCTTCACTTGTATGCGTTCTGTGTGTCTGTGTCTTTCATCCATCATATATGGCGTGACAATGTCAATGTTATGAAATCAAATCGCCCAATAATCAGCATGATGCATACAGAACGCAGGCTTGACCATCCCACTGTCGAAGCAAATCAGCTACTTCGCCACGACGAGGTCACAGATGGAGTCCAAGCTGGGGCGCCTCGCCATGAGCGACCTCCTCTCGAGGTCCCTCTTCCTGCTCGCCGTCGGCACCATGGACCTCCTCCCGGACTGCAACTACTTCCTGACGTTCCCGCCGTCGCCGCCGGACAACAAGACGGAGGTGCAGCGGCTCGTGGAGCTCTACAACGCCAGCGTCACGTCGCTATACGGCATGGGCGCCAGGAGGTTCGCCGTCGTCAACGTCGGCCTCGTCGGGTGCGGGCCGACGGTGGACACGCGCCGCGGTGGCGGCAGCGGCGGCGGCGGCGGGTGCGACGCGAGGATGAACGGCCTCGCCGCGGAGTTCAACGCGGCTCTCGGGGCACTCCTCGCCGGCCTCCGGTCCGAGAAGCGTCGCCTTCGCTACTCCCTCGCTGATTTCTACGCCTTCTCCAACGCCACCTTCGCCAACCCATCGGCTGCCGGTAAATCCTGATCTCTCTTCTAACGCGCACAAATTAATGACACCATTTTGTCCTCGCAAAAAAGAAAAAATGACACCATTTTGGATATCAACACACGTATGCTATTCAATATATTTGTAACTTTGACTGTTTTATTTCTATTGTAAAATGAGACCTTTTTATGTGCTTGGAATTAATTAGGATCGTTGATCTCTAATGATCTAACACTTCAAAGAGAGAAGGTACTAGGAGATAGGTATTAAAAGGGTGGGCTGGAAGCTGGAAGGTTAAAATGGTAATTGAGTTTTATTAATTGACTAGCAAAAGTGCCCGTGCGTTGCACCGGGTGATTACGGAGTGTGTATATTGACCAAAAGTGTTGTTTGGTCTAGCAAAAGTGCCTGTGTGTTACAATGTGAAGCGTACAGATTAGAAAAATATGCAATTAATTAAAATACAAATTCGCTGAAATATTTGGTATTTTTAAGTAGGTATGTGTATAATTAAATAAATTTACAAGTAAAGCAAGTGTGAGAAATAAAATGACATGGTTAAATTTAATTTTTTTTAAATTCTCCATGATTAGTTACACTCTTTGAAATTATATTTGAATTTTTCAGAGCTTAATTGTTAATTTTATTAATACAAACGTCATTTAACAATTATTTACTTGGAAAAAGAAAGAAAATACTTCCTTTTAGGTTTGCTTCGAAATAAACACATTCAATAACTTATAATTGTAATGCTTCTGAAAAAATGAGCACTAAAAATGAATTTATTCTCTTTTTTTGGGCCTGAGGGACCTAAAATAGACTTATTTCCGGCCCTTGCCGGTCGGTCCACGGCCTTTTGTGCACGCACAAGTGCACTTCCCCTCCCCAGGCCACAACCTGGGCTTGGGCCAGAAAAGTGGCCTCACTCTCGATCCCTCTTGGGCTGATTTCGGCCTGGACGACACCGATCGTCCGATCTTTAGGGTTTTGATCGGACGGCCGAGCGTCGATATCGGGGAAACAAAACCCCTCCTTCTCCTCAGCCGCCGAAACCCTAGCCCATTTCCCTCCCTCCCATCTCACATCGCCGCCCTCCCCTCCGCGCCCCCGAGCGGCGGCGACGACGCCCCTCTTCCCGCGAGCGGCGGCGGCGGCGCCCTCCCCCACAACCAACGGCGCGGCGCCCTCTCCCCGAACAACGGCGGCGTGGAGGCGGTTGCGGCCCGGCGGGAGCGGGAGGGGCGGCGGGCCGGACCTCGCCTCCGCCAGATCTGGCGGCATGGAAGCGGCTGTGGTCTGGCGAGGGCAGGAGAGGCGGCGGCGTCGTCTCTTTCTCTCTCTCTGTGCATGGTGGGGAGGTGCGGCAGTGGTGGTGGTGGCGGACGTCATGGAACGCCGGTCGGGCCTCGCCTCCGCCAGATCCGGCGGTGTGGAGGCAGCTGCAGCCCGGCGGGGGTGGGAGGGGCGGCGGGCCGGACCTCGCCTCCGCCAGATTCGGCGGCATGGAGGCGGCTGCGGTCCGACGGGGGCGGGAGAGGTGGCGGCGTCGTCTCTTTCTCTCTCTCTGTGAATGGTGTCGGTTCTCCTGGTGATGCTAACCGAATAGGACTTGGTATAACAGATGGGAGTTTGTTTCCTATTTTTGTGGAATCGGACATATTCTTTTTTTTTCCCGATTTTTCTTTTACCGCGTTGATGAATCGGATTCGTTCCGGTTTTTTTTCACCCGGTTTTTTTGACGGACGATGGAAGCACCTCTTATTTTTTAAGTAGTAGTAGAGTTGATGAATCGGATTCGTTCCGGTTTTTTTTCACCCGGTTTTTTTGACAGACGATGGAAGCACCTCTTATTTTTTAAGTAGTAGTAGATTTGTACGGCTAAGGACAAAATCGTCTTATTTTTATATCTGTATCCTACTCCTATCCGTTACAAGACAAGCTGCATTCATGCAGCACAGGAGGAAGAACGGTGTGCTTCTTTTCGTAGTTAAACGTTTATATCATACTTTTACCGATATGTACATATACATCTGCACACCTGCTCACCGCCGTACGCGCCCGCCGCTCACCGAGGCCGCACGCGCCCACCGGTCTCAGCCGCTTCACACACGCTGAGGTCGCTGCTGTTGTATGCGCCCTCCGGTCACAGCAAACTAATGCGGCAGTCGGTCGTCGTCTCCGCCACCGCACGCGCCTGTCTCGGCCGCCCGTCGTAGCCGACGTTTGCGGTAGCCGGTCGTCATCACCGCCGCCGCACGCTGGTCATAGCCATTGCTCGCGCCAGCCGGTCGCTGCCTTGCACGTGCTTGCTGGTCGCCGCCGTCACGCGCGCAGCCCCTGCTCCTTGCATCCGAGCTCGTTCAATTGGGATTGGAGTTGATTAGGGTTAAGCACTGAAATCGTGGAAAGGGAATCGTGAACACTAGGCAACGGATGGAGAATTGGTGATTGGTCAATTACTAATCTATCCTTTGTAGTAATAATTTTTGTTCCTAAATTACCCTTTGTGAATTAACGGTGGATACCAATTGATTTAGGAGGCACCATAAAAGACCGCTTGTAAAATATATGAAAATTATATACGATCATACGGCCATAAGTATTAGTCAGTTAACCTTTTTTATTATCAAACTTCCAAAAGTGTGGCCATGCAGATATTTACCTTAAAAAATACTTTCATATATAACGCCCATAAACGTGGGTTTTGTGAACTTGTTTAAATAAAAAATTATGGTCAAATTGGCATATTGAAGACTAGAAAAAAAGTTCACACGACATATATTTATGAATAGAATGATTAGTTTTACGAAAAATATGTTTTCCATATACGAATTGCACCCGTCCAATCGAATTTTTTTTTAAAAAAATAGTGGCGTAAAATTTTTTAAAAAAGTTTTGTCAGTCTAAATTTGTAACAGTTTAACTTAGCATTTTTCTCATGATCGAAGGGCTCTAATATTTCATTTTATTCCTTACCTCTGATTTCTCCAAGCTCTGAATTTCTGATACGGCTCGTTATAATTTTGCAGGGTTTGTGAACATCGACAGCTCGTGCTGCCCCGGGCCTTGCATGCCCTTCCCCTACTTCAACCAACCACCCTGCGACAACCGCGCGCAGTACTGGTTTTGGGACGGGGGTTACACCACGGAGCAAGCTGCCATGGTGGCTGCCGCTGCGTTCTACAATGGCACCGCAAAGTTCACCACGCCGGTTAACTTCAAGCAACTGATCCGAAGGAAAAAGTGATAACTCCACGCTCGATCTCATGTAGCAAGGCACGGCGCCCATAAAAAAAATCTTACGACATTCGATCAATAATAAGTTAAATGTTCTCCTTTAGAATGGAAGAATTTTAATAAGAATTGATACAATTACTGACATTTCAATGGATAAGTGGTTTGTTTATATGGATTTTGCTATCTTCAAACAACATTATATGTAAAGGCGTGGTCAAGATCCCTAGTCAAACTGTTTTTTTTTAACTCATACTTCACACACCGACACATTGTGAGTGGACTTAGTACACATTTACACTGTGTGGGAAACTCCTAGTCTGGTTAAATTCAACACTACTACAAAGGGAGTCTTTTACCCCTATGCTATTAAAAAAGTTGCTGCTTACCTGTGTGCCACAAAAAAGTTTGGAGTCACCTGTATGCCATGAGAAAAAACTTTCGTTGACCCGTGCGTCCACCTTCTGTTAGAACTTAACAGTTCCATAGCTCTGACATGTGGGACCATGTATAAAAATGACTAATTTGCCCCTAAGGATTTTCAGCTCTATTCTCCTCTCCCGCTATCTCCCGTGAGTGCCTGCTCTCTCCCCGTTGCGCTGCAAGCCGCCGCACCCTAACCTAGCCGCACGCCGCCGCCGCCTCGCCTCGCCGGAGCCGGAGCCGCCGCCGCCTCGCCTCGCCGGAGCCGGAGCCGGAGCCGTCACCGCCTCGCCTCGCCGAAGCCGTCACCGTCTCGCCTCGCCGGAGCCGTCGTCGCCGCCACCGTCACCGTGCGCCTAGGCCGGCGCGCCGCTGCGCCAGGCCGTCGTGCCTCCTCCTCTCCTCCTCCAGGGCCCACGCGTTCCCGCGTCCTCCCTCGTCGCGCGGCACGTGGGCGGCACGCGCGGCGGGTGGTGGTTGGTTCGGGAGGGCGGCGTCGTCGTCGGTCACCAGGTGGTGCGGCGCCGTCGGGCCCTCCGTCGATGGCCGCCACCGCAGATGAGCGAGTGAGATATTTGCGGTGGTCACGTGAGATTCGAATCACGATGTGCTAGCTGCGGCTACTGCTCTCGTGCTATCTCTCGATCTCTCGCTCTCGCTCTTGCTCTCTCGTGTGGGGTTTCGAGATGCATCTGTATATGGTTTGGAGTTCTCGTCTTTTGCGAGAAACGGAATTTGGAATTATGCGATTGCTTTTGGAAATTGGTGCCCTTTGGAAGCTATATGTGTATGCTTGATTCGAAGCATTAAATAAAAAAAAGGGCATATGCTTGTTTTCATGTATTGGACAATAATACCTGCCCACATGAATTCCTGTCACTCACACCAAACTACAATATTTGATTACCCGTTATTTTTTGGTATGCAATGGTCATACACCTGTTTTTTTCTTTTTTACAAAATTTATTTCTGATTTTTCCTTATTTTTTCCACCATTTTCTAATTTTTCCCACATTTTCCTAATTTTTCCCGGATTTTTAAACATTTTTAAAATTTATTCTCACTTTTTCTGATTTTTACCTTTTTTAAATATTATTTTTCATTTTTCTGGTTTTTAACGCTTTTCCTAAATTATTTTTCACTTTTCTGATTTTTTAAACCCATTATTGTACACAAGGGCAAAACTGTCTTTACACAGCCTCTAACACCTCTGTTATGTCTCCATCCATCCAAAATGGCACACGGGTCAACGAAAGTTAGGCTCATGGCATACATGTAACTCCAAACTTTTTTTTGTGACATACAGGTAACCAACACTTTCTTAATAGCATAGTGGTAAAAGACTCCCACAAAAGTGTTAATCACCGTAAGCTTCCCACCTAAGCTAACATGGACTAGTTGATGCACGAACCGATAGGGTTGTATTAATATCGGTTTATGACATAAACTGGTAGTGATATGCTTCAATCATATTTCACGTTCGTACCACAAATTAACTGAAAATGAACTATATGCTGTGACACTAACTAGCAACTGACATTATTCGAGAGCAACACTATTCACTCTTCACTCCCGGTTGGGAAACCCCTTTATTACTCCCGGTTATACAACCGGAACCACGAATCCGGGACTAAAAATACCCATATTTAGTCCCGGGTGAAATAACCGGGAGTAAAAATGTATTTTTAGTCCCGGTTGGTGTTACCAACCAGGACTAAAAATGGAGACAGGCTAGTTCAGTTGCTCCTTTTTTTTATTGTTTTTAACACTGAATGTTGATTTCACTCCATTCCCAAATCATCCCCAAATCCCAAATCATCCCCAAATCGTGAAATTTTAAATCGATCATCACATCACAGATCAAAAGAATCCTTCAAATCCTCAAATCAATCATCTCCAAAAACATCATAAATTCTTAAAAAAATTACATCACAAGTTCTAAAAAATCACCACAAATACATCACACACAAATACATCTTAGATCTGAATCAAAATCACCACAAGTATCATCTCACACACAAAATCACCACAAGTACATCTCTGCACGCCGGCTGCCACCACGCCGGCCGCCCGCCGGCGGATGGGAGGGGAGGAGGGGGAGGAGAGGGGAGAGGAGAAGGAGGAAGTGGAGAGGAGGATAGGGGGAGTGGAGGAGGAAGAGATAAGATCGGATCTAAGGGGAGGAGAAGAGGAGATGATCCGTTCTTATCTAAATATTTCATCTGGGACTTAACCGATCAGAGATAGGAGAAAATATTTACTCCCGGTTAGTAACTCCAACCGGGGGTAAAGATAAATCTTTACCCCCGGTTGTTAGTACCAACCGGGACTAAAGATCTAAATGATCTTTACTCCCGGTTGATAGACCAACCAAGACTAAAGTGGTACCAACCGGGACTAGAGATCCTCGGCCCCCTGGCACGCATCTGACAAGGGATGAACCGGGACTAAAAATCCTCTTTAGTCCCGGTTGGTACTACCAACCGGGACTAAAGATCAAAAATTTTTGAACCGGGACTAAAAACAATTTTTACTGCCGGTTCTTATTGGAACCGGGACTATTGGGGAAATCCTCCAACCCAGCAAAGATCACTTCTCTAGTAGTGATTACGAAAAACTCAGCGGTAACCAGTATTAGGATATTTCAAACAATCAAAACAAATTCTCAAAAAAATCATAACATTCATGCAATGTATATATACCACTCCATAAAGTTTTATGAAAAGTTTTATGAACAACTTTAACTCACATATTGAGAAATAGAAGAGACAAATTCAACATATAAACAGTAGTGGTAATATTGATATCCAAACTTTTTCATTTATTTAGCTCGAAGATCGAGTTTGGACTTATTTTTTTAGTGAGATTTTTCTATACTCCATTAATTTGCCATCTAAAAAGGAGAGATCAGGCATCGCCAAGGGAAGATCAAGCCTTCAAGATCACCAAGGCCCCTCCAAGGACGCCCCATGATCGCCTCCCAATCGCCTCTCCGTGAAAATTGCACGTTTCTGTTTACTGTCGATGTACACTACGTCTCCATTTAATAAAGGGACTATCTACAAATCATTCGCCATAAAACGAACCCAAACACAGTCGGATTTTTCTCTACTGCTAATCCATACCTAACGACTCAGTGGACCTCCAACTACGTACACACTTTTACGATTAATTAGGAACTAGTACGTATTTTATTTTTTAAACCATATGATTAATAACACATAGAAATTACAATGTAATTATTCTATAACTAGTAATATAAGTGGTATGTAATTATAGTGTAAGTGATATGTAATTACATTGTAACTGTAGTGTAAGTGGTATGTAATTACGTTGTAAGTGTAGTGTAAGTGGTATGTAAGTATGGCGTAAGTACTGTAAGTACCTCGTGAATGAATTTTAACTTAATTTTGGTATTGAAATCATTAATCCTACCTCGCTCAGTTTGTTAGTCGCTCTGTCTAAGACCTAGAAGGCCAGAGTTCGACTCCCCCACCACTGCGCCTGAATTATTTTCTTTTGCACTGACATGAATATCGTATGGGCAACAATTCAACCGTTTTTTCTTAGAAAATCTGGTGACACATTTATAGCAAATCTGTTTAATAATTTTCTCTTTTTCTTTTATTAGCATGCAAATTTACTAATGGTCTATTCATGTCAGCGAAATTGCGTGTGTTGTGAAGTGACCAATTTTTTGGCACTCCCACCATTTGGTTCAAACCAAAATTAGCTGTGCGCCAACTCCCACCGTGAATCCATTATTTCCACCGACAGCCTTGTCCATGTTAGAATAATCAAATTATTGTGACGGGTGGTGTATATATCTACATCAAGGAAATTAATTTTCTGACCTTGAGATATATAAGTGTGTCATGGAAAATTGAATTTCCCCGATAAGAGAGTTTGTGCACGTTAGTAAAACCAATGACCGTCAGAGCTAGTCCGGTTTTTGGTAGTGTCTAGTTCGAACAGTGATCAGTGTGAAGCTAAGACATGCATTACTCCCTCGATGCCATGATAAATGATAACACATTACAAGCTTGTTGCTATGATATATCCCAATTAAACTAGCTTGTGGGAAACCAAAAAACATAAATCTGCTAATGGTGCATTTTATTAGAGCGCGCACGATAGGTGATGTGCTGTGTTGACTTGATAATTAATCAAGCTGCTGGAATTCTCGCTTGCTGGCTTGCACTGGTAGTTGGGAAAATAGGTCCCTAGAATCCGTTGTAATTGTGATCCTACAACCTAGAGAATGTGAATAAGGTTTTTGAAAAAGCACGGTGCGACATTCGTCCATCACGGCTCATCTTCCTCTATGTTGAATAGCTAAATGGGTGAATATGTTAAACATGCAATATTAATTATTAAATATATTAGATTTTGGAGGGATGCAACACTTTCCAGTACTATGATTCTGGATAGGCTTATCTCTATATTCATAGATTAGGAAATATGACATCCCTCTAAAATCCCTTAATTATGGGAAGGAGGGAGTACATTATTGTGTTGGAATTAATAGATGGGCTAAGGCCCATTCGAAGATTAATTCTTTGAAAAATCACAAAAGCCCACCTCATCGGATGGCATGCATGTGGAGTTTAGTACCACCTTGCTTATTCTAGGAGAGGGGGATCTCCTTAAAAGGGAGGATACCCTCCTAGCCACTTGAAGCATGTGTGGTGGAGAGAAGAAGGGAAATACACACGCGCTCGCTG